GCAGAAACGAGTATCTCAGCTCAGTCTGGCACACATTATGTCTTCTTCAAAGACTGGGTGGAAGGTTTGCCCGGTCAGTTGCTGGCAGAGTTGATTAACATGTCACCTGCTGGCAGGTTACACCAAGGGCGTTAGATTAATGGGGTATTTTTCTGCACTAGGGAGGCTTGATGCTTTCCAGGAGGCTCTGTGTCTATGAGTAAATGAGCAGTTCATTGCCTTAATTTCAGCCTAGTAATAAAAGTTTGAATGGAGTCTACTTTTTACAATTGCACTGCCATAAACCTGATGGCAGAGCAGCTCGCCAACCACTTAGAAGCATTTTCTGATATTGGTTTAAAAAAACAAAAACCTCTTAAAATCTGGTGTTACAAAGTAATAATTTTAAATATTTATTGGTGTTCAAAGTAACAGTAAAAGTAATATGAACAAGGTGTTGTGTTTTGTTTTCTGGGGGGGTATCCCAAATGCAGATAACAATTCAAATTGTCTTTGTACTTGAATGCTTTTTAAGACAGGTGTTAGACTGTAGTGAGACTTGCTTGAAGGAGCTTCAATTATTTGGATATTATCAATTGTCTTATTGCATTAAATATGCTCCTTGAATGAGAGCAAGTTTAAAAAAGAGGAATTTTAAGGAATTGTTGTGAAACACATGTTTGTGCTATATTCCAAAGCATGTTTATGTTTTAAAAAAAGAATTTTAATAGTTTTTAGTGGTTGACTGGCTGTTGTAACACAGTTCAGCATCCACACTAATCTCTGCTCAGTCAGTGTGGCAGTCATGGAGCCTCAGTTTTGTCTATCTTCCTCTTTGGTAAGAAGAAAGGAATGCCTGAGTCCTGGTATCTGACTGAAGGGCGCCTGTTGACCTATTTCATGTCCTGTCAGTGGGACAACAGGAAGTCCAAACACACAGACTGTGTTTCTGTCTCTCCTTTCTTCTTCCACCTGACTGGAAAACTGCACATCACATTTCCTCAAAGCCAGAGGAGAAGACTGCTGGGTGGCAGTAAGAGATTCTCTTCCAAAGCTTGTTTATTATGGTGACGGTGCCAATGCGTCATTTCAGGTGCCAACTGTCTGACACTTGACCACCTGCAGTCATTATTTCACCATGACTCTTCACCCATGATCCTGCTGCTCTGTAAATTGAAGGCTTTGTGCATTCTGCTCACTGTGCACTCTGTCACCTCTTAGCTGGCTGGCTGTCAGGCGAGCTGCAGTTGACTGGTCAGTGCTGGACTGTGTCCATCCACACGGCTCCTACTGTGATTTGAAAGCTTATCTTCATTAGCAAAAAAAAAAAAGCCTGCACTCTGCATTAATGTGATGACTTTTTTTTAAAAGTTTGCGCTACTGGAAGTCATTCTGTTTGAGTCAGTTAGATAATTAGTTAATGTAAACAACACATTTATTTCATGTGGGCAGTCTCCACAATAACATGCATGCTGTTTTTGTAGTTGCTCTATAAACAGTGGTGGTATAGCTTGTATATGAAAATTCCAGGGCAGCTATAATCAACACGTTAATATTTGTGACAAGAGGGCTAAAACGGTTCCCGATACACTGAATATAACAGTGAAAGTGCTCTGGGAAAGATTCCCTCCTTTTTGTTCAAAGCTGGCTTTTCCCAGTAGTTTTATCTCCCTATTAATAAGAGTTGGTCTCATTGGCTGCATGCAGATTTATTCCTTTCTAGAAGAGGTACAGTCAGTATGTCATTTACCTGCCCATTCCACTCCTTTTCATCAATTTAGTAGTTCTTCTCAGATGTAGCTATAAAAGATTCTGGATCTGAGCCAACCTACATCAAAGACTGTAATAAATTAAGGGGAAGATAACCGCTAACTATCTCTGCTTTAACTTTGATTTGTGAAAGGTTTGCACTTGCACACCCACAGTGGAAATGTTATTCTTTGAAGACCCTAAAGTAAATGTAGTTCTTGCACATTAATAGAGTAATTAGAAGTACAAGTTTTTAATGTGCCCTGAAAACTATAAAGTCTGTGCTGTGCTTTCTCTGCAGTTCATGCCCTCAGTTAATATTACCGCTTTGACTGAACAGTCAAATTGCTGTAATGTGGTGTGTGAATTTAGTGATGGGAGGGACACCTAATTAGTGATGTTAACACACCTACTTTCTTTCTTTCATTAGTCTGTAAACTAAGTGGTATGTTTTACTCTCAGAAAACGTGATGGTTAATTTTTTTTAATAGTTCTTTTGTTTACTTTCTTGGTTCTTCAACATTTGTGAAACCCCTGTTATTTATAAGGAAATAATATTATAAGTGCCTTTTCATGTCCATGTCAACTATATTGTCTCAGTAAAAACTCTTCAGCTATCATATTTTATATCTTTAAAAAAAAAAAATACTGTCACCTGTCAGCAGTAATACCAAATGCTCAGTAACCTTAAGGAAGTTCAACCTGTTCTGTACCTGCCATAAATCCCAGACAATAAGCTGATCTCAATGCCAATCAGTAGTCTGCTACTCATCCAATTACCAAATCTCATATAGAGCATGCTATTAAAACTCTATCAGCATGTATTTCCAAGCCACTTTGTAACCACTGCCACCCCAGCTCTTACTTTCCTGAGGTCCTGGATCCTGGGGAGGTCCTGCTTCTGCTCTCCCTGCCTCTGAATTTCCATTTATCCACATAGCAGAATAGATAGCTTGTGGAACAAAACCATCACCACATATAAATTATTGCAGATGTAAATATCAGTCTTTTGTTGACTGTAATGTTTCTAACTGAAACATACTATAAGTGGTTTTAATTAATGGTAATTGGTAGAATTTGGATACATTGGAGTGCAAAGCACCTCTGATATGGAGCCTTGCATCGAAGGCTTGGTTCTGTAACTACCGGACTCTGTATACTAGTGGCTATTTAGTGTCTCTTTTTGCATGTGCTAACTGCTGGCATTGAGACTGGTGTCATTTCTCTGTGCACATGAAGCAGCTGTGGTGATGTCATGGTTAAAGAGGTGGGTGATCTAAAGATGAGTGAGTTCATGTGCTCCATCTGGGTTTTATTCACTAAGAGCAAGAAGAAAACAGAAGATGAAGGGACAGCAAATGGAAGGCTGGCCCACAGTCCCATTCTTGGCATCAGTCATTCTCAAGGAAATAGCCTGATCTTAATCACTCCAGACTCTCTCTCACATAGACCTATTTAGCCTCTCTTTATTAGCACCCATCATTAGAATATGAGTTGGTAGGTGTTTCTTTGCCTCCCACGTGTGGATGGTGCTTCGAGAAGTGCATAGTAAAATGTAGTAAACATTCAGGGTTTATTTTATGTTAACATCTTTCATGGGACTTTAGGAGTGCTTTCTGTCCTCATTCTGTCAGTCATGGGTTCATCATCTGTGAAATGCAGACATGTAACTGTGAATGTTGATGCAGTTCTTTGGCTCTTTGTGAAGATCTGGGTCTCAGTTCACCTGACAGGATAAGAAGTTCTGCATTTATAAACTGTAGCATCTAAGGAGCTTGGAAAGAAAACCGTAGCATCCCTTCATTTGAGGCACGTGGCAGATCTTTTAAGGAGTGACAACACACAGTGTCCAGAGCCCATGCTACTATTCTTCATTTGCATAGTCTACAGTTGTCTTTCAAATCTGATTGTTTAAGGATTTTCACTGAAAACTTTGACACAGTTGATATGATTTTACCACTCTGCTTTCGAAGCAAGGCTTCTCACTGCAGGAATCTTAAACAGCTTTGTACCCCAGAAATTGTGCCAGTGTTGGCAGCTTCTGCCTACCTACCTAATTGAATGAGGGGGTAGTCTGTGTACAGAGCCTATCAATGGCACAGTATTAAAAAAAAACCACGGAGGTATAGGATTTCCATTCAAAACGAGTCCATTTGTTTTTTTCCATTTTGTATGCGTCTTTGCTTGAAGTGTGTGCGCATGTTCCTCTGGGTGATGATCCGTCTCCTCTCACAGGATGCCTGTCTAGCCTTTGCTTTGGGGTCTTGATGATGAAGCTGCATGTATGAGAGAGAGAGAGACAGTGCTGTCTCTGTCTGTGCTCTGCTTAAACTGTTCTGTGCCTGATTGCTCCACGTGCACAGGGACCTTTGTCATCCTTTGAAACAAGCAGGCCCCTTGTGTCCGTTTTGCTGTTTGCTGATGATCTGAAAACAAACAATACAGCGTTTTCAGGCGGCACACAACTCATGCGAGGCATCAGTAAATACTCTTCATATTTGAGAGGGGTCTAGAAAGGCCTCGTGCCTGCAGCCCACATTGATGCAGTTAGGCTCTGCTGCAGTCATGAATGGTTACAGCGAGCAACAGACAGTGTCAGGCAAATGTACTGTTGTCCAAACAGAGAACAATATGTGAATAGGGTATAGTGACCATGTGCTGAATAATACAAGTATGAATGCGATGCACTGTCTGTTCAGTTAGTGTCATCACATGATGTTAACAAATTCCTGGTTCTAGCATGGGGGTATGTTGATTCTGTTAACCTCCACTTGTCAGTGTGAAGCCTGCTACATGATAATACTACAAAGAACAAGTTTATTGATGCATGAATCACAAATTATGAATCTGGACTCTGTATCATCACAGGATTTACATTTGTAGTCCAAGTGGACTCTTTTGTTTCTTTGTATTTTTCAGTTTCAAATTAAATGAGTATTTGATCCACTTTAGCTATTAAACACAATTAACAAGTTTGATCCTTGTAAATAATATTGTTTGTATTGGTTTTATGAAATTTTCAGTGGTTCTACTTATGTAGCCACTCAGTTTTGTTTGAAGGTTATAGTTATGATTTTAGCAGCTATCAGATGTAGAGGCTTAGATTTGTTTTGGCATTTAAGTCTTTATAACAATTGGTCCCCAACACAGTCTGTTAAAGTGGCCTTTTAGCTGACAAAGCGAAGGGAAAAAATTGTTTACACTTATAAATCAGTTTTGCCACTGGATAATTAAACACCGTTTCATTATATACTTCTTTGTGTGTTTTTCAGGTGCACAAACTGTCAAGAAGTCTGGAATCCCTGCTCCTAGAGAAATGCCCTCTGCCATAACAAGAGACCGCAGCTCTCTAAGGGACCAGCTGAAGAGCAATTCCACAAAGAGACTGGTTTCCAGTGCCAGCACTTCCAGCCTCTCGACCATGACAAGACAGACCCGTAATTCAGCCAAATCTCGTGCAGATGCAGAGGGCCAAGAAAAGAGTATTCTGGAAAGCCAGGTGAAGGAGCTTCTTGCTGAGGCAAAGGCTAAAGACCTAGAGATCAGCAATCTCAGGATGGAGTTGCAACGCTGTAAGGGTAAAGCCTCTTCTGCTTCCTCCTCACCCTCATCCAATTCTGTTTCACCTCAAGAACCTGCAGCCGATCGCGAGCAAGGACAGGTGGGGGAGGCCCTTGTGCTGGTTGGAGAGCTGAGGGAGAAGAATGGGAAGTTTCAGAGGGAGCTGGCAGCCCTCAGAGAGGAGAATCAGGCACTGAAGGAGAAGCTGCTTAGCTTGGAGGCATCTTCTATCTGTAGTACAAACACAAGCACTTCCTCCAAGCCTCTGGTGAATGGCCTGTCCTCAGACTCTTCAGCTCCGCAACAGCATAGTCTCCCCTCTACTGCCAGCCCACTCAAAACCTCTGGATCTTCCAGTTCTGACATCACCAAGGGGTCACCGTCACCTGACTCCTCAGAGTTTGAGAAGATCCCATCACGCTCAGAATCAGCAAGCAGTGGTGTCAGTGGGAGCACTGATCAAGCAGGCGCAGTTAACAGTGCCAGAGGTCAGGACATCTCCTTGCAGAGCCTAACCGAACAGATTCACAAGATGGAGGAGAGCCACCACAGCACATCGGAGGAACTGCAGGCAACAATACAGGAGCTGGCTGACCAGCAGCAAGTGGTGCAGGAGCTGACAGCTGAGAACGAGCGTCTGGTTGAGGAGAAACGACTCCTGCAGACCTCACTTCAACAGCAGAGAGAGCGTCTGGAGGTATTGGCCCAAAAGAATGAAACGCTCTCTGTCCGGCTTCAGGAGCAGGCTCAGGCTCAGGCCCAGAGGGAGGAGGAGCTGGGTAGCCAGAGGCCTAGACTGGTTGAACTGGAGCAGAGGTATGCTGAGCTGGTAGAGAGTTCACGCTTTGAACGGGAGAAGCTAGTAGACATCCAGCAGCAACTAACGGGCAGCTTGCGGGCCCTGGAGGAGGAGCACCAGGAGGCCCAGAGCCAGGTGCGCTGCCTCAGAGAGGAGTTAGACAGGTTGCAAGCCCAGTTGGACAGAGAGCTGGAAGCCGGAGGTCAGGCAGCTCAAGCTGCAGAAGACCAGAGGGCAACAGCTGAGGGTCTGAGACTGGAAAACAACAGGTTGAAGGCACAGGTGGACATTGAGAGGCAAAAAGTGACTGAGTTGAAGGCTATGCAAAGTGCCAGTGACAACACTGAGCTGCAGACTCTGCTGAAGACAGCCCACACTGAGAGAGACAAGCTGGGAGTGGAGCTGACAGAACTAAGACAGGAGCTGCTTCAGGCGCAGGCTGAGACTGAGCATGTGCAAGCCTCCGTGTCTAAGGTAAGAGACGGGCAAAATTGATAACATATTTTCCGTCTTGGCATTCATAATATATTTATTGCACCTTCACCAGGTCAGTTGATTAAACACATAAATGCACTATAAAGAAAATATGCTTGACATTTTGGAAACTATTCATATTCATATCTTGGCTCTCTGTAGTTAGTACACTCAGTGGAAGCAACCGAGTGGCATGTGAGCAGTAAGAACTTCATTTATGATGTTTCCTTATGAACAAATTTGACTGAGAAATAGGTGTATGCTAATTCCTAAAACAAAAATAATAGTGTATAAAAACAAATTGGAAGACTCTGTGTGTGTGTGAATGAATGAATACTCTGATCTGATGCATACATACATGTTTTTAGACTGGGGAAACTGCTTACATAGATGTAATAATGTAAATAAAATATGACAAACCACGTATACTGTCGAACATGCCATCCACCACAGGTGTAGCTGCTTATGTCGTGGTTGCTAGGTAACAGAAACCACACGTCGTAGGCTAGACCGTCCAATTTAACAGCCTTGCTCTTCCAACCTACGCGGCCTACATAGACCGGGAAGGCCAGGTCCTTCGAAGGATGTAGCCCCTGAATTTGGGCACAGTCTATGATCCAGTTCACAAATTTAATTTCACTTTATATAACATGTTACAGATGTTTTTAAAAAAAAATACAAGTAATCAACCAAGTGCTTTTAATTATGTTTGATTTATTAAGCCGAAGAATTGCAGTTGTATAACAAGTTTTCCTTAATAAATGTATTAAAATTCAACGCTGATCATTTCAACCACCGTACAGTTTTAGTATGGATCCTGTGGACTGTTTTTAAAGTGGTCCTGTGATGTAAATTATGACTTGCTGTGACCAAAACAGCAATTTGTTCATCCGCTCTTACTGTAAGTTGTGTATAGAATTGCAAAACACAGCAGCCATAGTTGTCCGTAATATCTTATAATCTTGTGCATATATTGTACTTGAGAAGTACAGAACTTCTTATTGCTATAAATTTGTTTTGCTTTCATAATTAAGAGTCTTGAATCTTAATGATTAAAAATTTGACTGAAAGGAAAAGCCATGTGATTTTTCTCTTGAGTGTGACTGAGGACAAACTTCTCTCACACTGGTGTGAACATGACCGTTAAATTGGTACTGAGTACCTCACCACTGCAATGCATGAACTCAATGCCACTTAAATGATTTTCATATGTTTCCTCAGTATTCATTTTGGTTTTCCCCTACAACACCACACATCCGAGAACCGCTGAGGCAGTATGAGTTAGGGGTCATGTTGGCGGTTGTTGTTCCAAAGCGAAATGTGTCACCATCAGCTTAGTGATGTCGTCATTACTGGGCTGTGACTGTGGTGCCAACAGTAGGGTGGACCCTCAGAGTCACATAACTCTCCTCAGGCACGTGGGTGTCAGGGTGTGACCACTCCATAAGTTCACTTACAAACATCTTGATCTATTAGAGCCACGTGGTGTCAGTTGGAGGGTGTCCTGCGTGACTACATCACTGTCTCGTTTTAGTATCTTGTTCTGTCAAAGACTGACTTTACAAAGTCATTTCTCAAAGCAGCAATCATAGTAGAACTTTGACTAAAGCTTTCAGTGGAGCAAAAAACACCATGATGTAGTCAGAACTAGTCAGAGTTGGTGCCATCTTTCATGTCACTCATTTCGCTGAATGCCAAATTATTGATGTCAGACACAACTTTATTGTTTGTTTTATTAATCACAACGATTGAGGAGTTGTGGTAAAAAAAAATGAAGCAAGTACCTTTTATTTAATATCCTGAGATATATACAGTGAAATCCATTATTATTCTTTCTTTAACCAAAGGCAACTTAACCACATGTCTGTTTTGCACAATGATGTCTTAAAGTCACTGTAAGCTCTTGTATGTTTACATGTACACAGGTGGAGGCAAAATGTCAGCAGCTTCAGGAGCGGGCTGAAAAGAGAGAACTGGAGCTATGTAACCAAGTGGCTTCCCTGGAGGAAGCGGGAATCCAGGGTGAGAACCAGGTGAAGGAGATGAAGGAGACCATATTTGAGCTGGAGGACCAGGTGGAGCAGCAGAGGGCTGTTAACTGTCACACCAACCAGGCTGTCCTGGACATGGAAAGTAAGTTAATATAAATAGGGGTTCAGGTCCCTGCTATTCTCTAATGTTTTGTGGAGTCATAACTTGAAGTCCTCATAAATGCTCATAAAATATTAGAAACGTGTCCACAGTGGTGAAACATCACATCTTTAAACAGTTTTAACAAACACTGAGCTTTAGATTCATAAAGGTAAGATTTATTGAATGAGCGCTGGAATAGACTGCATTAATGAAAGCTCATAAACTAGCAACTGAGAGTGTATAAAAGCGCCATGCAATGTGAGTTCATGCTGTAACTCATCTGTCATTGACTTTGCATTACTGCAGCTGGCTCATTCCATATAGCTGGACACACTGTGTTTTGACAGACTTCTACAAATTCTGGATTTAGTCTGATATTGCTATTGCTAGACACCACTACTTATACAATAGATGTTAAGCTGTAAGTTGGTTGCGCTCCACAATACTGAAAACTGTGCTGCTCATAGTGAATGCTTATTTATTAAACCTACGGTAAGCTAGACCTCAGCGATGGTAGTGTTTAGGCAGAAGTTCTCAAAGACCTTGAATTTACCATTGCAGATCTGGTCAAAAAGCTGGAGGAGCAGAAGGCTGAAGCAGAGCGGCAACTGAAAGTTATGAGTAGACAAATGAAGGTAAGAAGTGTGCAGACCTGATGTACTGAGTTTTAAAAGTTCACATCTTGGTAGCTCTCTAATTATGTGGCATGTAATGTGACACGCTCAGAGGACAGCCCTTTTGTTTAGTGTATACCATATAACATCTTTCGTTTACAGTATGTTGTTTCTCTTTCATTTTTAAGCCATGCAAGCATCCATATTATTGTGATAATTGTCACAGAGTTATGCACTTACAGCTTAGTTCACATAACCGTAGCCATTCTTTTACAGTTGTCCTTGAATTCCTACAAGGAAGAAATTTTTGGTGGAGTGACACATTAAGTTCATGGTGATGTTTTCAGTTTTTCCTTGTGTTTTTTTTTTTTGTTTTTTTTTGTTTTTTTTGCCAAAGAGACCAATAAGTCTTCTTTCCACTAAACATTGTTCCAGTAGCATTTTAGAATATGCAGATGGGGTCCTGACACAGGCAGCTTCTTCCATCAGTTTAGTTTTAATGAACTGGTTCTTGTATAGTACAGCATTTCTACTGTAGTTGAGCACTCAGTGCACTTTCTACAACATGTCTCATTCACATGCTTTCACACAAATTCATGAAAACTTCCAATTAGCAGACCTGTACTGTCTCCTGAGCTACAGCCACCAACGCTTTAAAATGGACATTTATAGATTTAAAAAAGACATCAAGTGTGGCAGATCAAGACTTGGTGGATCTAATGGTGATAATCATTATCGTAATCTTCAGCTTGTGCTGTGTGGCTGCTGATTGTTGGTGGTCTTACAAAATACTAAAACTGTTGAAATTTTTATCAAATCCTGAGGAAAGTCGGTGTTCTAGTAGAAAACAAAATTTGGTGTAATGCAGAGACTACATAAACAAAAAAACCCAAAATCTATAAAGTACAAATTTGATTGATATTGATGATGATAATGATGATAATAATAATAACAATGATAATAATGGTGATGATGATAATGATAAGAAATAATAACAATAACAATACATTTTTCTATAAAAGCGCCTTTCAAGACACCCATGGACACTTAACAATAGAATAAAATGCATAATAGAACAATGACAAAATGAAGAACAATTTAAAAAATAAAAAAAAAACACATGATAAAATAAACAGTAAGTTCACAGTGAATATGCAGATTTGAAAAGATAGGTTTTGAGTTGGGATTTAAACTGGGGGAGAGAACCAGTGTTTCTTATATCTGGCGGTAGAGAGTTCCCCAGCCTGGGAGCAGAGCAACTGAAAGCTCTGCTTCCCGTGGTGCTGAGGCAGAAAGAAGGCACAACAAGTTGGATAGAAGAAGATCGAAGTGAGCAGGCAGAAGAGGTAGTGCTTAACAGGTCAGAAAGGTTGGGAGGATCAAGGTTATGAAGGGCCTTGAAGGTAAGCAGAAGAAGATTGTATACTATTCGGAATTTCATAGGGAGCCAGTGAAGTTCCTGAAGGTTAGGGTTTGTGTGCTGGTCGGAGGGGGGTTCTGTGTTCTGGTCCGGAGTTTTGAACCAGTTGAAGCTTATGGAGGGATTTTTGGGGGAGACCATCCAAGAGAGAATTACAATAGTCAATGCCAGAGGTAACGAGATTGTGGACAAGACAGACTATGGACGCAGACTGGGTGGAAAGAGAAGGACGTAACCGGTTAATGTTGCGTAGACGGAAATGGGCAGAACGGGTGAGATCATTGATGTGAGATTTAGTGGATAGTGAGCTGTCTAAGATGACACCAAGGCTCTTAACCTGAAGTGAAGGGAAATCTGTGGAGTTATCAATAGTGAGAGTGAAATGATTTGCCTTTAGTAGGGTTGGATTTAGTGCCGATAAGGATTTCAGTTTTATCCTCATTGAGCTCAAGAAAATTAGAGTGGAGCCAGGATTTTAACTCTGATGAGCATTCTGTAAGAGAAGAAGGTGGGAAGGAGGAATCAGGCCTGCAGGAGAGTTATAACTGGGTGTCATTAACTGGGTGCTTAGATGTTTTTGATTTCTACCTCAGTGGTAAGGGAAGTCCTATTTTATTTTTTATTTTTTCCCCAGTGTTTGTTCCCGGGAGGAAGCCAAAAAGTTGTTGTGTCTACCTTTTGATTTTTGATGTTGAGATCAGAGATCAGATTTTTTTTTTCCTTTTTTTTATGTCTTGAAGTGAATTTTCATACTCAATTCTAGTTTGAAATAACTAAGCAAAATTTCACTGATGCGTTGTTAGTTTTTCCAGTAATTGGTGGATTGAATATTCACAAGAATATAAAAAATGCATGTAATATCTCGTTTCCTTTCATATAAGGACCAGTCATTCTTCCATTTCAACTAAATTCAAATGTCTTTGAGTCATTTTCTGTCAGAATGAATAACATGTATATGATTCTGCATGTTTGTGCCTTCAGGATGAAAAGGAGGAGTGGCGTCGTTTTCAGGCAGACCTCCAGACGGCTGTGGTCGTAGCGAATGATATCAAGGTGGAAGCTCAACAGGAGCTGCGCACACTCAGGAGGGAGCTGCAGGAGGAGCAGGATCGTAATGCAAAGCTTTCTGCAGACCTTGAGGCCCTGCAGGGAGTCAGGTACTATCTTCCCCATATTTTTCAGTTCCTCTCCCTCCACCAGTTTCCCCTTTTTTAGCATTGGGCTGCAGTTCTTTTCTCCCTGTACAAATGTAGTTATGATATACCTGCCAGAGTCCTGCCATATCTCTTATTACCTGTGTTTTATACATGCTTAATGAATAAGAATACCACCCAATAATCTATTTAGACATATCTACATTTAGTATAGATACAATTTAGTTTATGATGTTTCACAAGATCCAAACCTTGATGCTTTTGAGTCTAGGTTCCCGGGATTTGGCAGACTCTGTTGGTAAATGAGCCGTCTCCTGTGGTATTTCCCTCTGTGTATTCTATTCCTTTTAAGCTGCTGCCCTCTCCGTCTCCCTCTTCCACACTTACCCTCTGGTAACGTTTATTCCTGACGCTCAAAATGCAGCAAACTTCAGCAGTATTGATAGGACAATATGAATAATATAAAATTTTATTTTTTTTAATAAATGGTGGCAGATCTGCTTCATGGTCAGAGCAGAATCTGTGATTAGTTTTTTACAGCAAATGTCCCACACCAATCTGTCACACTATTCAAGACTTCACATAGTGCGATCGGAATATGTCAGTGCAGCATTGTTGTTGATGAGCATTGCGTTGGATCGTGTGTTGTTATACAAGTGTGTTTTAGTGTGCATATACCATAGTGTTTTTGACAGTCTTGTCTTCTTTCATTATCAAGCCAGGTCAAATACTTCTGTGGCAAAGTCTGCTTAGATTTGTGACTGTACAGCGCTCTCTTTATATTTGTGGCTGGCCATGGTATAATCCTTTCAGGTAGCGAAACAAATTTTTATTAATTTAATTAATTTATATTTAAAAAAAACTATTTTATTACTATTAATTATTAAACTGCTCACCAGTAGTTTTACCACTTAAGAAACCGTAATATTTGGTTTAAAAACCAGATATGTCTTTTCTTCAGATTTCATGCAGTACTTCAGAATATAGTAGTGGCTTTAGACCACGGCTAAATCAGCAAACTCTCCCCGAGATTAGCTGTTACGCTGCGTCCGCTCCCCACCTCCAGCAGTTCCCTGTGATGACTCTATCAAAGAAGTCCCTCTGACAAGCCTCCCTGTGTAAAGCCCAGGTGAGTTTCCTGCCCTGCAGTGCTCTCTCAGCCAGCCTGCCTCTCCCTGCCCTGTGTGCTGCTGATGCTCACTGACCTTCCTATCTATGTTTGGCTTCGTGTTGCCGCTTCAGCCTGTCTGACTCTGTCTGTCTTTCTGTGTGCTGGCTGACTGCACCCTCAGGGGTATCATGCCCTTTTTGGTTTGCTTTGCCTGATTTCTTTTTTCTTTTTTTCAACCTTTGGTTCGAGTAGATGTATCTGGTGCCACCTGCTGTCCTTTAAATGAATAACACTCTTAATTGTTTTTTGGTTGTATAGCAGGATGGTCTGCACGGCATGACTGGATTAAACTCATGCAATGCATCATCTGCTGCAGATACATTTCATCACAGGGTGATTTTATTGAAATTTGATTCTGAGTGACTGTATTAATCCTTTGAGGTATGCATGGAGCAGAGATTTTAGAAGTCTGCAAGCACCCACAGGTCTGGCTTTGAAAATAATAATGCTGAGAAGAAAACAAGGTCATTGTGTAAACATTAGCTGTTACACTGCAGTTCATGTCCTTTCTTCTTTTCTCTCCAGAATAAGTTCCGGGGCCACTTTTGAGACCAAGACGGCAGTAGAAGGGCACTAAAGAAGCGTCTCTCACCTCAGCACCACGTGAAGACAGTGTTATTGTTGCACTTAATATGACATTAAACATGTAATGTGGTAAAATAGTTTAATTGTAAGCCACTGTGACCTCTGTAACCACAGACGAATTCTTGTGACACAGAACGGCTTCTATCTCTCTTCATGTCTTCATGACCTTTTAAAAATACTGTATTTTTGTTTCTCAATAAAATGTACCCTTTATTTTTGTGATTCTCTTGTGTTTGAGATTCCAGGAGTGAGAGACTTATATTTTTTGTTTGTTTGTTTATAATAATGTGTGAAGCTGCTTTGTGCCTTTCAGAAAGTTGAACAGATGAAGTGTTACAGAAAGAACACTGAAAAAACTGGTAGCGGTATGAAAATATGGGTAAATGTTCAGAGAGTAGCAAAGCTCAGAGACTTGCGTTTCCCAAACACTGCCAGAACAAAGACAAACTCATAACATCAGAAAATACACATCGCAAGGCCAAAGCAAAAAAACAGAACAAAAGTCCAGTGATATTCATACAGTATATAGTTCTGGACCTAATATTATTCTGCTTACTAGCTCTATATTAGTCAGATTGTTGTCACTTGTTTACTTGACTCTTGATTCCTCTGATTGGTCTAAAATGCAGTTTCCTATTTAGCCATTTGATGGCACTGTAGAACACATAATAACTTTAAATCTCTGTCATCTCAGCACACAGGTATCCTCTGCACTGTTTCTATTTGCCTGTTTTTAATGATAGCGATATTTCTTCTAAATGTCTTCTTAATATTATACTGCCAACATTGGAACTGCCACAAACGCAAACAGCTGTTCCTCCAAGCCACTTTTTGCTCTACTGAAACATGCCATTTTAACCCTTAGACCAAGAAGACTGTGTTACATGTTCCTAAAATGATTGTTTTATTTCACACAAGAAACCACTTTTAAATTATGAGCTGAACTCATTTTCTTTAATTCAACTTTTTAGCTGCATAAGATGATGTAGAATTAAACACACACTTTTTATCTGAGCCTCTGAGGTTACTCTAAAAAAAAAAAAAAAAGTTATAATGGGACTCTGAGATTTCTTTAACATCCTTCTTAATGTGTCACTCAAGTACTGTGATATAATTTTGAAAGGTTTATTTCATTGTTCAACAAAAACTTCAATAGAATATTGCATACTGTGGTAGTATACGGTCATACGGTTGCAGGATCTCAGGTTACAATTTTTAAAAGCCATATTTTAATCCCAAGGTAAAGGTACTGGTGCTCAAAATGTAAGCATTTGGATTCACTCAAGAAACCCGACCTTCTAAAGAAAGATGAGCTACTAACAATGTGATGGATCATTTTCTTTCGATGAACAATTTATGAATGTCCTGTTAATTTATTCTGCCTACAAAGACTCGTGACTGGTTTTATGCTTGTGAACTTAGACGTGTATTATTATGTCTGACTGCTGTTCATCAGGCAAATGAATAAATTAAATGACACCAGTATAACTGCAGTCGTCTTTCTCTGTCAGTCTACTTTTTTTTTTTTGAAAGTGAGTTAAGAACTTGTTTGTCATTTCTGTCTCCTCTTGTCTGTAAAGAGGCTGCAGACCCTCACGCTGTAGCCTTTGGTCCAATGTTCACCAGGTACAACGGCAGAAAGCGTCTCTACTGCTCACATTAAGGTTTTCCAAACTCTTTTTGTCTCCAGCTAGTCATCAGTTATTGACAGTTCTTCGGTTCAAGCTGATCACATGATCTTGTTGATACACTGAGCAAACACCCTATTTTTTTAAAACGTGCAGTCTCCCCTTTCTCACTGGTCAATGGGTTATCTCATAAGATAAGTTCTAAATTCAGGGTTTTGAAATTCACCAGGTCACAATTTGCCGTTTCTCCTCCCTCTAGTGTTTGTGCTACCTGTGTGTCCACACAGCAATCCTGTTCATTGTGTCTGCCAGGTCCCAAGGTGAAGAGGCGAGAGTGTCTGACTCGGATAACGGCCGTCACTGGTGCGGCATCTCCATGATCCCAGCCACGCCCGCCGACGCCAGCGGAGATTCCAACACAGAGCCTGGAGCTACTGTCAAATCCCTCATTAAGTCCTTTGATACTGTTGGACAAAGTGAGCACGAGCACCCCAGCACACAGACACACACTTTCAGGGCATCCCATTACACAGTGTAACTGTAGAGCAGAACAGCTGCTGAGAGGTCTATGAATATGTGGCTTTTCTCTGCAACTTGTGCGATTGGGCTGGACGGTCCTGGCTAAGCTGGCCTCAGACAGGTCGGAGGGTTTCCTTGTGTGTCTCAGTAAAATCAAAAATGACATGCTGGATATATCTTACTGATAGGAGGCATTTTCATTTAGAAACTTTAGTCATGCATTATGGAGATGGTGCCTCTTGTTTCATTTATTAAGCAGCTTGACATGAACATTATGTAGAGCTGCATACATTAGGACAGTTTTACTGGTTTTATTTAATCTTTCAACCAAGGCTATTCTTTTTTTCTTTTTCTTTTTTTTATGAAACAAGCTAAACTTCAAAATAAATTGTTGGGGGAAATGTACCAAAACTGAGTAAAATATACTATTAATTTCTCAAATATCAAAAATGAAAAGAGGACTAGGAGTCCAACTGTTTAAAACTGTTTAAAAAAAAAAAAAAAGCGGACAGTGGGCTGTGACATTTGTTTAATCTTTGAAAAAGGTTATTCTTTGCTTCTATAAATGCAGGCTTTACAGAGCACTTTTGAACTCAATGGTTACATGACTTGGTGTTTCAGATGGGCCAGGTCACACGGTTCAAATGCATTCCTCCTCAAGAAGCCCACTGAGTGGGATCCCTGTGCGCACTGCACCTGCTGCTGCTGTATCCCCCATCCAGGTATACACCCTGTTTCCCTTTAAAATTCCCTTTAAATACAGACTTCCTGTGAGTGGAACTGTTTCAGATGACTGTTTCATTCTCTTTTTAGAGACACTCGCACATAAAGCCACTATCAAAGACACTGGAAAAAAGAATTAATCACGGAGAATTCTCCCATCCTCATGGTATGTAACACAGAAGGGATTTGGGCATGTTGTAATGGTATAAATTTGCTATCAAATATCCATACTTCCTTTAACTGTCACACAGGAACAAATGGTGGCTTTTAGGTCAACAGACTGACAGCCAAAGTCCACTATGAGTGTTCAATGAGCACTAAATGAATGGTATTAAAGACATGCAAACATCCGACTGCTGCCAGTTTGGTGGAAAATTTTATGATTTTTCTCCTTGGCAACCAAATGCTGTAAATTTTGTGCATGGCTCTTAAAATGTCAGCATCTACATTCAGTAGGTCTTCTTGCTCCATCTCTGAGGAGTCATTTGAAAAACACAGTGACTTTAGAATCACAGGATTACTTTAATTGGATAAGGGATTTTTTAAAAAAAATGTTTTATTGCAGTAAATCCAGATTATTTAGATTTTACTGCTCATTAGAATTCAAGTATTATTTTGTACACAGTGGGTACATCAGTAGTTTAGCAACATAGACACCTTGGAGGATAATGTGACTTTCCATAACTGCAGAACGCTAGAAGTCTTAAAGCAGAATACAATTAATTTCTATTTGTCCCATTGCCTTTCATGCCCTGCAACTGCACATGTGATTTGTCAAATGTACTTTATATTTTGATCCCTCCATTTCTAACTTTCTTTTCATTCTCCTGTGTGTTGTTTTAATTCCCACAGACAAATTGGCGAGCTGCAGGGAAGACCTGAAACCTAACAGCCTTATGAGGAAAAGCCCGTCACTGGAGTCTGTAATCAAAACCTCTGCCTCCCTCAGCAGCCGCACGCCATCCTTCAGCTACAACCGAGGAAGCAGCAAGCTCAGGTGAGTTTGTTTATTTATTTTTAAATAGCACTTCACTCTGAGACAAACCTGCTACTTTGAACTGGAGCTGGTAATTTAATCATACCTGAAAAAATTCTTCTTTTTTTTTAAGCTTAGGAGGAGCTAACATATTTGACTATGATTTCACCACATGAAAACTACATGTCTGGATTTGTTCTGGGTTTATGCTTCCCAATACTGTGACAAAGCAAAAATGTGAATAAGTTGATCTCTCACTGAAGCTTTAAAGCTGATTTTGTTTTTAAAGAAGGCCATTGCTGTGATGGCAAATCTTCACAAGCAGTTAACAAAACAAAGTTTATTTATTTTTAAATGTAGCTTTAAAATAGGCTGCATGACTCTAAAACTGGTGGTGGTTACAGATATAATGGGTGCTGTTGTATTTCTGCTTTTTAAACTTGCATACTCCCTCTTGATATCACTAGTTAAAGCTTTCTCTGTTAGTTTCCCAAATTTTATGTCCAGCATTCCTGTTTGGACACCGATGGCCTGCACACAGTAGATGGAGTGTTGGCTTATCAGAATGGGAAGAGAGGCAAATGGTGAACAAACATTTTTTATACTCTTCTTGCTAGTGATCGTTTTCATGCACGGACAGCTCATGTCTGTGTACACTCGTGATTGCATCTGATGTAAATGGTGGCAACTTCGAAACAGCAAAGTTAGTTAAAGCAATGAAATAAATGGTAAATGGCCTGTATTTGTTTAGCACTTTTACTAGTCCCTAAGGACCCCAAAGTGCTTTACACAACCAGTTATCCAGCCATTCACACACATATTCACACACTGGTGATGGCAAGCTACATTGTAGCCACAGCCGCCCTGGGGCGCACTGACAGAGGCGAAATACTTGGCCAGCACACTGGACAACACCCTTAGCTTCAGTCAGCATACAGTTGACATTAATAAACAGCACTCATTGTTTATGTTGAAACTCAGAAACCTGTCAGTCCAGCCTCTCCACATCCTTGCCTGCTGTCATGACTGTTCAGCTCTCTGCACTTTGCACACAGCTGTATTTTTACAGTATTGTTTGTGCTACCAAGAATAAATTTTCCACACAGATAATTGGCCTTCCTTTTCCCTAGTGCAGTCTATCTTTTCTTACCATCTATTCACTCTTGACATTATTAATGTAAATGTGTGTGAAGGAGTTGTAGACTTTCTGGAAGAGGAGATTAGGGGGCTGTCTCCTTCCATATTTGGTATTTTAAAGGCTCATGATAAAGCTGCTGTATCACTGATGATAAATGCAGATACTCTCCGCACTGCAATATATGTTTGGATAGCATCTTGCTCCTTCTGGCATTATGGTGCCTCAAACGGAGAAATAATGAATTCAGCAGCAGAGCAGCGATGACGTGTGAAATATTTACTATGCTCACAGCAATGACCATGTCTCATGGTCTTCCCATGGCCTCAGCTCCAGCACAAACCCTTGGGAGAAGCCCCTTTGAATAATACTGCAGATAGGCATTTATCCAATTTTGGGGGATTTTAGAGAAATGCATTGAGTGTACTGTTTGCCAATATTTGATGGATGAAAAGTAAAACAGATGCCACTAAAAAAAACTTTGCTAAAGGTTTACATCCCAACACTTAAAGTCAGAGTGGGTGCTGGATTCACGCCAAAGTAATCTTGAGCCAACTCTTAACTCCAACACAAATGCACAAGCAAACCAAAGAAGCTTCAGTCTTGTAATGATAATTCGAAGCCCTGGAATTCAGAAGGGAGTTTTCAAACAGGGAACATTTGGAAAAGCTATGTAGGAATTTTATTTTTAAAGAGAGCATTAAGAGTTTGTTTTTGTTTTTTTAAAAAGGGTTTATTCAAATTTTTCAGGACTGAAATGGATCTAGTTTTTCAATAATGGTATGTTGTGCAGGTCATTGTACACTGTGATCATCGAGGCAGGCTCATTTTTAGCTCTAAAGTTAATATTTATGAGCCCATTATGTTATTTAAAGATGGCCAACCTTTGTAACCTTCCTGAACTAAAACACCAAAGTCTAAAGAAGAAGAAAAAGAGGAATGGAAGTTTTTAGCTTCCGAAAGCATGCATGTGAGAAATCAGAAATAAGTTGTGTGTTATTAGATCAGGACCACTTGAATTACCTTTTATATAGAAATTTTGGGGGGACTTAAATAATTGAACAAAGCCTTTTGCTGTGATCATCATATGCACTCAAGTTTGCATGGTTACTTATCCCCTCGATGACTTACTGCAAACTTGCTCCCCCCTTCCACCCAAAAAATCTCTCTATGTGATTGTGGTTCGTGTTTCCCTTGTGACAGTGTGGAAAGAAAGGACCCCTTGGCTGCACTGGCGCGGGAGTACGGAGGATCTAAGAGAAATGCTCTACTGAAGTGGTGCCAGAAGAAAACAGAAGGCTATCCGGTAGGGATCACAGGCCGGAGACCTCTCTCAGACACAAGACGAGCCCCACTCACTTTCACACCCTGCTCTTTTCTGCATCTTTGTCTGACTGTTTCATTTGAGTGTTTCACTCGTCCGGTTCTTATTTAAAGGCGAGACGACAGCCCCCCCCCCCCCCCCCCCCCCGTCCCCGTCCCCGTCCCCCCTTTCATATTACATGTATGCAGTATTGGTTAGTCTGCCCTCAGGTTCGGTAGCTATTTCTTTTCTTTTTTTTTGTTTTATTTTCCTGCCATGAGTGATGTGCCGGACTGTAATGGCACATTACTCCTCCTGTCATCTCAGTGGGGATATGAAATCGCTGTGGCACAGCAGTAATGGAAGCAATGAAGCAAAGCACCCAGTCTTACAGACACACTGGATTTATACCTGTATGTATTTTCACAGCCTGCACTGTTTTTATGCTTGCCCATTCATTTTTTTTTTTTTTTATGTTGTTGTGCTCCCAGCGGCTTTAACTGGTTCCAGGAAGCCCTAGTGCTAACACGCTCCCTTAATACCTAGTTTAAGGAGCCTATTAACCCCAGTGGGATTAGAGATTTACCTCTGTAATCACTGTGTTTGTGTGCCAGTATGCTAAAGCTATACAGGGGGACTGGCTGCAGCCTCCAAAAAAGCAATTCTTTTATCACTCTCAGCCTTCTGATAGGAATTACAGTTACAGATGTAACTGACTGTGCGTCTCTGGGGTTTGGGGGTGAGTCTAATAGCACGTAACTCTGGCTTAACCAAGTATGAGAAAGCACAGGTGATAATAACTGCTAAAAATAAACCCAGCTGTCACAGTGATAAATAGTGAATTATTGGATGAGCTGTCAGATCAATAGTTCTATTTCACAAGGACAGTGGTGCTCAGTGAACTTTGATTCCCCCACCCAACCCCACCCCACCCCACACTGCCTCTTCTTTTCTTATGAGAACTGGTGCTTGACGGCCTCATGGTGCGTATGTTGGTGAAACACGCTCAGCAGATCTTCTTGTGATGGAAACAGCTGACTTAATGAGATAAAACTGACAATCTGTCTGATAAAATGCTGCTCCTGAACACAGGCTGCCCGGCTCAAATTGTTTAGACTGTTTTGACATCTTCGGGCAGTGGGGAGCATGTTTAAAGACGCTCTCTTGTAGCATTCGTTGATGCCACAGTTTTCTCGCTCATTGGAAAAAAAGGAGTTTCCTGGAAATCTTTTAACACGGCGATTAAAAATCGAAACAAAACCACTGGGCTGCGTCTTCAGGAAGTTTACTCTCTGCTGCGCCCACACACTGATAACATAACAATGTCACTACCTCTCAATGGCTGTAGTTTGATCTAGGGAGACACTTGTTACTTGGTACAGACAATGTACCAAGTAATAAGTGTCTTTAGCTGTCACACGAATAATATTTCCCTCTTAAATATTCTCGTGAAGAACAATAAACTAAACTGCAAATCTTAATTCAGTTCAGTACAACATTAATACCCCTTAATAGAGCCTCATTCCTACTGGTGTGGATTTAACTATGGGATCTTATGATCTGCTCTCACAGAGGGCTTAGCAACACCGTGTGATTATTTGCAAGTATCAGGAATGCATTAAGAAGATTTGGCTGCTAGGTGTGTTTCAGTCTGTGGCATAGGGTTAGAGCTGTGGTCCCTTCGTGCCTTTGCATATTCTCCATGTGCGACATGCGCGTGGCCTGTAATCCGGTTTAGTACTGGACCATTAGTTAGGCAGTTCGCCTTAAAAATGTTTACTTTGAGAACCAGTGCGACTACTTCCGTAAAGTAGAGACATGAGGTAATTCCTGTTTGCACATCTCATCAATATTTGTTAACTTGTACCAATCTTTTTTTTTAGTTTTTGATTTAAATGAGAAAAAAATACTTTTGTTTTTCTTATGCAACAATCAAATGAGAAAAAAGAGAAGCAGATGACTTTAACACTATCTTATCTCTGATGTTAAGTTGAGTCATTAGGATTTAAAGGAGGATCTCTCTAAAAGGGTGATCCGCTGTTATTTGCCCTTTTCCTTCTTCTTGGCACTGCACCCACAGAGATTTCTGCTTTCATGGATGCATGCATATGTCCTGCATCTTTGGTGTTACATACTGCATAGGGCATCACTTATAGCCACCGTGGTGAGTAAACTGCACCACAGCATGTAACCCATGTGACTAAGTCCTGTGGTGGGCAAAGAAAATTTTATTGCCATAGGATGCATTGAGCTTCATACGTCTGATGAAAGGTCAGGCTGCTTCGGCCCCCGATTACAGGCCCAGTGTCTGAGAGACACTGACTAACATGTCACACCGTGTGCACCTCCAGGATGGAAAACTGAACCAAGGGACCAGAAAAAACACAGCATTCAGGTGTCTCTCTGTCATGCTCGTGTTGTGCTCTGATAAAGGTTAGTGAGGTTTAGTGTCATTAATACATCCACACACACTTTGCAGTCCCTCTCCTCCCTGCTGTGGACTAAGGTCAAAGAGGTAATCCCTCAACACTAATTAAGTGTGCCTATGCGAAGGCACACTTATTACTATTGCTCGGATTTATTATTATTATTATTATTATTCTTTTTCCGCCTGAAATTTTGGACCTTAACTCGCCCCACAGTTTTGAGACAAGGTTCACATATGATATATCATTGTGTGCGGCTGGAGCTGGAATGAGTTGCTATGACTTTTGGTGTTTATTACTTCTATAGTTTTTTAAATATGAATATTTTAATGCAAGTTTTTTCCCATTGAAATGAATGGAGAACAAGAAAACTTCATTTGTGGTGTGCTGGCTCACTCTAGTGGTATGTCGGGAGTAATGCGAGGCGGCCGCTGTGTCCCTGTGGACGCTTTTATTTTGTATAACTACCGGAAGTAGTTCCTGTGTACTGACGCTAGCTGGGTAGCTAGCGCCGCGTCGCTTAAAAAGCAGCCGGGCTTGTCTTAAACTTAAGAGGCTGACACTCGCTAAACCACCCGATCGCTCGCCAAGCGACTGTTTCACACTGGACTTATTTTTCGTTTATATGGGCCGATGATGCTGGTCGATGAGGAAAAACTAACTGAGTTGTTTGGTGGTGGCTAACGCGGAGCTAGCTAGCCACCGGTATGTGTCTCTTTCCCCTCATATGTGGGGAAAGAAACATGTGAGGCGGCCGCCGATCGACCGGTTTTCAGGTGAGAATGTAGGTGTGTAAACGTCAAATATCTGCTCGTTTTGTCAAAACATCCCATATTAGCAACAGATTTCTCACGATGTTGCTGCTAGCCGGCTAGCTAGTTTGGCCGGTCGGCTAGCCGGCTAGCTAGCTCGGCTAGCTAGCGCCGCTTCGCTCAAAAGCACCCAGGCTTGGCTTTCAGTGAGGCGTCTCTAACTCCTTTCACCCCCGATCGCTCCACAAACAGTCTTTGTCTTAGCTGGACTTATTTTTCGTTTATATGGGCCGATGATGCTGGTCAATGTGGAAAAAATAACTGAGTTGTTCATATACCGGTGGCTAGCTAGCTCCTCGTTAGCCACCGGTATATGTCTCTTCCCCTCGTATGCGGGGAAAGAAACACCGATCGACCGGTGGTGGCTAACGCGGAGCTCAATCGTGGATAAGGGAAACCCAATGCAGGAGAAGCAGGCGGCTGGTGAACTGAATTTCAGGTAAGACGTTATTAACTGCACTCTATTTGGGTCAGATATAAACCGAGTTTAGGTGTAGTTTATTTTCGTTGTGCTGACAGTTACAATAACTGTACTGCGTGCTAGCTAGCACGACGGAGTTTCTATACAGCTGTGCGCGCTAAGTTACTGATTTTGAACTTTATGACAGCCTCTCCTATTTTCAGGCGAGAATGTAGGGGTGTAAACTTCAAATATCTGCTCGTTTTATCAAGAAGTCCCATATTTTATCAAGAAGTCCCATATCTCTCACGATGTTACTGCTAGCGCCGCATGGCAGCTAGCTGGCTAGGGCGGCTTGGCTGACACCTAGGCCGGGCTGACTGATACCCAGGCCGGCTCACGCTCTCGTTTCACCGCCGCATGGCGGCTAGCTGGCTAGCGCGGCTTGGCTGCCACCCAGGTCGGGCTGGCTGACACCCAGGCTGGGCTGGCTGACACCCAGGCCCGCTCACGCTGTCGTGTCACCCCTAGTCTTTCGTGATGACTCTTGGTTGGCTGCTGGACTTATTTTTCATTTATATGGGCTGGTGATTCAGTATGAGTGTCCGGTGAACTGAATGTCAGGTAAGACGTTATGTATATGTAAGGTAGTGACTGGAATAAGTCACAAGGTGTCGCTGTTGAGCTGCATATATGTTGTAAATTTTAGCAATTTTGACCATTTGTCCTCTGCAGGACACCGTAGTTCAGATTTCTCGTTCGCGTGGGCGCCATCTTGGTTCAGTGTTTACTGTGATGTGCAAAGGTAAGCACTGTCAGTGGCGAACTGCATTGGTTTTGTTTAAAAATAAGTGTTCCACTGTGTAAAATAGCGGTTTGTCATTTAAGCTGAGCATATATTTTGTTTATTGAGAGGTTCATGTATTGTCTGATGAGAGTATGAGACAAAGATATACTTTTCTTTCTTACTCTCATATAAAATATTTAGCTTTTATTAAATAGTTATCTGAATCTTACAACCAAAGTTTGTATAATAATACACAAGATTGGCTGTAGACCATTGTTAATCATTCAGAACACTGTGTAAAAATAACAAAAAACAAAAAGTGAATGAAAAGTGCATAAATATTTATTTTACGTGTTTGATGTGTGTGGCAGGGCGTGGTCTGCAGTGCCGCTGCAGGGGAGGTGGACCCACCTCAGCGGCATCTGCAATCACGCCTCTCAGGTGTAAAGTCTGTGCTCTCTCTGCTTTTTTTTTTTTTTTTTTTTTGTGTATGTGTCGGGCTATGAGATGAAAAGCTACAGCCGGCTGTGTGGGTACAGCAACTATGTGTGAAAAGTGGTCCATAACGTAATGCTTCA